GGARRAAAAAAWGAGACTGATTTTACCTTTTATTTGTAATAGCATGACAGGTAGAAATCCACCAAATTCCTGTAACTCGGTRCTGATTCCCTCGACATTCTTGGTTGTCTTTCTAAGTGCAGTACTGGCTTCATTTAGGTTGACTTTAGCAGCCAAGCCTTCGATGGCCTCGACGGCAAATTTGGAGTTCTTCCCTGGATGATTGCAATTCAACAAGAATGTAYTTGGTGAGATACTATTTAAYTTTTARATGTCAAYGAGAACAAATCTWAAGTTGGAGTTTCTTCACTTACTATTTTTGTTCAAGTGACTRGTAACAGGCTTTTCCAGTTCCTCTGCTTCTCTGACATGGTTTCGCTGTGATTTAGACACCAGGAACTAAAAAAACAAACTTACGTATTTATCTTTCTTCCATCTTTACAATAAATTGCAGCCTTGAAATAGTTGCTCMTTTTTTTACAGCATTAGTGCGCGCATATATATACGCACAGATTTGACGTCCTCTATACTTACATCGGTTTCTGAGCGGAGATCCTCCCTGTTCTGTCTGGCCTTGACTGGATTGCTAGTGTGGGCATGTTTGCGTACAGGTCGCAGTTTACGACGATGATCAGCGAACGCTTTGAGACTGTATCAAGTGAGTAAATGTAGCATTATTAATGAGGTAAAAATACAATGATTGTTTTGCCGATATTGATATCCTGATGCCCGTTGACTGTTACTACGTTACCTTACGTTGATTTCATCAGATTGTTGTGTGTTTGCATGCACTGCCTTTAGCTGTAGACTATCCATCGATTTACCTGACATTACTCACATTAACTTTTAAAGTCAGGGATGATACTTATGAACGTAACCTAATGAACAGAAAGAAAAACTAAACGAAAGAAAAAAATAAATGAAATAACATACACGAACAGAGGTGCGAATGTATCTGAACAAGAGAGAGAGAAAAAACATGAATAAAAAAAGCAGTATAGTAAAAGTGAAGGAAAACTGAGAGAAAGACGAAAAAAATGAATGAAAGAAAGGAATGAAAATGAATAAATGCAAATGAAATCCCTCACGCAGCTTATCAAAAAGGGTAAAAACCGGTAATATCCTATAATTGAAATGTTCTTTTTTCTTAACATGTTCCAAATCCTTGTGTGGAGCTGTCACGCAATACGGAGCTGTCACGCAATCTTTGCTTAGCATATCATGCAACATTGACTTATTGTGCGCAAAATCAGTTTGAGAACTCAAAGTATATCATTGTACTTATGAGGTGCCTTGGTTTGGTGAAGGTCTTATTTAGATGTATTGTTCTATTACCCCTTAAACAACTAGGCACTTTTTATCACATACAAAGGCCACGCCCTTTTAACAATTATCTTATCAGCACATTTAATATCACAGACACAATAAAACACTCAAGCTTATTCCACAARCCAACAATAACAACCATTTTTATTTCATCATTTAAYYTACTAAGCTCCAACTGAAGTTCATTTTAATTAAAATTGGCCACAGCTCCTGTCTTTATAACCACWATACGAAAACCATTCACACTTTTGTCAGAAAACAGGAAAATKAACTTGGAAAACCCCGCCATCTCGAATGGTTGTATTAATCAAGTTTTCGCTGCATGAGTAAATGGTTTTCGGTTTAATTAAATCTGTCAATCAAATCTGTCAATCAAATAACTTGTAGTCACTCAAAAAAGTGACGTAATCTATGACGTATTCGTAGATGAATATGACGTACCACGCCCTAGCCTATGCGTCAACGCATTTTCTAGGTTCAAACTGGTTTCTTTACTTGATATCTAAATGTTTATCATCTCTCTGATATTATCTACTGAAACAACTAACTCCGTTATTAAAATGGTATTTTTTACAAAATAAATTCAGATAAATGTTGACGACAGTCATGAGTGACCGATAAGACTGTTGATTTTAACTGGTCACCCAAGCCTGGTGTCATATTCAACTTTACCAAAGTTTAAACTTATAATTTTATGACAACCGTTCTCAAGGAAATCAACAATTATTCTACCTTTTGATATCTTCCTAAATAATAGTTTATTCAGTATGGCTTACTATTGATACTAGTCCATCTATCTAACCATTAGACTATATGTTGAGTGTGGTGTTTGAATGTAGTAACAGTCAAGTAGAACAGACATCTTTTTGAAATCCATTGCAAAGTTTACGATGTCTTACTTTGATGTGGTCGTTTGTTCTGGTGTGTCGTCAAAGGATAAGTCTTTAGGCTTTGGTTTTTCTTCTTTGTTATCACCAAAGGATTTTGTTATATCTGAAGCAAGAGTCTTGATATCTTGTGCAGCGCTCTCAGCCCTGTCAACAGCAGCCTCATCTGCGGCTGCCTTTCTCTCTTGCATAACTTTTTTGAAATCTTTGTCTTCTTTCAAGACAGTAGTAGGCATGATCAGCTCCTTGGCAGGTTCTTCAGACTGATTTGGTAATCTTTTTTTCACGTCTTTAACTCCCTCGAAACTCGATTCGTCCTTTTCATAGGCGAAAGGCTTTTTCTCGGTTGAATCATGCTCAGGTTCGAGGTACTTTCCTTTCGTTTCTTCTAACTTAGGRAGAATCTTGGACTCCTCTTCGATGGCAGCCATCTTTGTGACTGGTTTAGAATCAACTTCATCCTTAAGTTTCTGTTGTATATCTGTTAGTTTAGGGATAAAACCAGCTGTTTCGTCCAGTAGTTTTTGTGGACYATCCGTCTCATTGTAATCGTCTTCAGAAACAAAGCTGGATGATTGAATGGACATTCCTTCTTCATCAGCCGTGAATTTACGCCTCGCTTGCTCGTATTTCCACTCGTTTTCTCTTTCTAATTCATCCATAATAAGCAGATCAATCGGTTTTGGTAGATCGTAACGGTACGGTTCATCCACCACATCAGCAGAGAAGGCCCACTTTAGCATAGACCCTCTGGCACGCTCCAGGGACAGATTCTTGATGTACTCTTTGATAGGGCCCTGGACAGGTGTCTTGGTCAGACTAGCCGATTTACCAGCATCAGTAACATCAGTAGCGTCGCTACGGAAAGAAGAAGCTGATTTAACAAAAGTRGACTGGGATCTAGTCAAATAAGAACCCTCTTCATAGCTATCACTATGCTTACGTCGACGTCTCATGACGTCATCAAACTCGCTATCGATATCGTGCGTGGATCGCATCACTGTGTACGGGTTTGGTTTTTTAATTTTACGCGGAGTTGTTGAACGTTTTTCAAAACTAATTTTTTCCTTTTCGTCTTCAGGAAAACGAGCTTTGACCGTGGACATCCAGCGACGATGACGCACCATTTTAAGCCATTCAGGATCCTCGGGGGATTCGCCTTCATCTATGACGGGTTTGAAGTGTGTTATCCACTTGCTATCGGCCTTAATGCCAACATTGGGTTTATTAACCCCTAATGGTTTGTCTCGATACTTTTCTGGTAGATTTTGCCAACGTTCTTTTAAGATATTAACAGACTCAGARGGAGCTCCATCAACTCCATCACGTTGTGGTTTGTCTGCGCATTCTGTAATATCAATGACTTTAGGTTTAACTGGGAGAGCGTTCTTTGGCGGCCATGATGCCTGGTTTAATTGGTGAGGAACAGGTCGCTCTTCACTCGGTGGAACTATTTTACCTTCTTCTTTAGCAGTACTTAAATACTGTTCTTTAATCTTTCCTAAAGGAACAGTTGACATAATGTCAGGTTCATCAGGATTGATTCCTGTGTCTTGGTAGAAATCATTCAAATCATCTTCATCTACACGCGCTCCCTCTAACGCTGCAGCATACATCTCTTTTCTCCTCATTAAATCTGACTGTGCGTCTGATTTCCGTAATGCACTTGCGTAGTTTCCATAACGTCCTTTCCTACCGCTGCTTCCACGACGACTTGGTTTACCAGAATCACTTTCATCGTAAAATCCATTTTGCTGGTCGATATTTTCAGGGTCTTGTGGATCGTCAGGATTTCTTTCACGAACTGCACGTTGACTAACATCAGTGATAACTGGCATGGGTTTACTGCTGTCCTTAGACGATGACTCCATATTGCAACGTATGTACTACTTGTTCACTGAAATATCTTTGCTTTTATAAAGTAATGGAATACGTAGAATAACTTAAATGGTTCCTTCTAGAGGATTTCGAAAGTCTTATGCTTTACACGTCCGAAAGATATCATGTATTTTAATAATGAGCACTAGGTCATCAGTGGAGAGGGGTCTGGGGCGAATACTCAAATATTTCTCTGTTACCATTTCCTTCTCTTAAACATCGAATAGTCAATTCTTTATCGTCTACTTATATTTGMAGTATCTTTGATTTTCGTTTGGTAATGGATATTTTTGGTAAAACTAATTTTAACGAAGCAAAAATGAAGCAGATGTGCCGTGTGTTTGAAATAGCCGTTCACGCATAACAGTACTAATCGTGCTGTTACAATGACGACATTTGTCGTTATCAAACATCGCAATTAACAATTGCACATAGCAAAGATTTTTGTAACAATTTCTTTAAGATCACAAGAACATTACTGTCACATATAGGTCCTTGTCTAGTTTAATCWASTATTAAATCGCAGGCTATGGATCARTTTTTAGCAGGATTAMTGTAAATGTTGCTTAACTAAACGTACTAAAAATTGCAAGATTTTGATGCTATAAGACAAGTCAGCTACTCATTCCACAGGCTATAAACAAAAATATGTTTTCTTAATATAGAACATACCTCTATCATACCGTTAAAAATAGCAAAGATATACGATGCTTCTAGCAACAAATGAAAAGCGAAGGAAGGTAATTGACAAGAGCGACTCACTGTACTTAAGCCCTGTAAAAGCAYTTGTCTAGGTAGTAAGTACAAAAATAAAGGGCAGAAAAAGGTCAACAGCCATTGCAAAAATATTTCTCTGTTCATGATAATTTCGTTTGCTGGTAGGTAATTATAGATAAAAGTTATGATAAACTGACTTCGAGATTCATAAAACTGAACGTTAAGACTATTCATATTTTTTAACAGCAATGAATGTTATGAAATATTTCCTAATATCACTAGATCATTCTGAGGGTATATCATYTTTTCCCTTAATTAATGAAGACTTGAAACGATCCATTGATATTCAAAACAACTAAAGAAATATTAAATAAGCGTATTTTCAAAAACGTTTCGGAGAAAGAAACATGTTCTTGTTGAACGTATGTATATACTTCTAGTGTCAAGATTAATATCGTTTTAGCAGTCACTTATTCCATTGTTCTCTCGCGTATATTTAACTATTACACCTTGACCATTAGATTTTATATCAAATACCGCAAAGATTTAGAAACACTACATTAATAATAAACCCAGACGTATGTGAGGATTACCTGTATGACGTCACTAACGCGAATAAGAGCACGGAGGAGGATGGAGTCTTYTGTGGTCAGTTGTATCGCATACAAACCCAGAGGAAAAGATGTTATCTACACCAGTCAAAGCAGTGATATCTTTGTCTCATAAAATATTTACGCGGTTAAAAGGATCTGGTTTCAAGATRCTATTGAGACAAGGTGTACTAAAATGTAAGGAAGACAAACGCCCTGATATCATCGAYCAAGGAAAGGAGTGGAGTTATCATAGCTTACATTTGTTCCCATGACGCGGTGGTCGCGCCCTTCTACATTTTCCTTGAACACTTGGCTTTTTTYCCTTTTTTTATAGAAATGTCGTTCGGCTCAGAAAATTATTTGATYATCTTGAGCRCTTTTTCGCGCAATGGTGAATGGATTTTTCTGGCCCTTTTCTTTTGCCAATCATAACTAGAAAGCTCCCATATATGCATCGGCAGACAGCTAAACGTTGACTTCCGGTTTTCCTTTGCRTTGTTTAGTCAAGAGACGTCACACAGYTAATTTACTGTGACCAAAGGAAGTGTCAATTAACAATAACAATTAACAACCATAGAGACTCCGCATAATTCAATACTACAAAAGAAATCACTARAGTAAATTATCCATAAATAAGTCAAGAAGTACATACCTTTTCACCATCGACATGAATCTTAGTATTACATCGAACGACTGGTGCCTCACGCTATTTTCTACATCACTAATTTTGCACAACATCGCGTCACATTAACATTACAATTGAGGCGTTTCAGATGGAAAATGTTTTCGAGATTTGATGATAATTTTAATGCAAGAAAACCTTGTGATTCGAATGMTTTCTTCGATGTTTTATCGCCGAATATTTCTGAATTATTAAAATGATTTCAAACTAAGCCTTGATTATCTTTGGATATTTGATGAAAGCTTACCTGAAAATTACAAATATTGCAAYGTTGTAAAGTGAAAACGAAGTACAGCGCCTTGTATTCAAAACAGCATGTGTAAAAAAGGATATCGCTTTATGTCATCGAATAAAAGATTCCTACAGAGGCCTTATGGAGGACACCTGGTAGAAGCATTCGGCATATTACATTCACAATGAATATTTACATTTGTTTACACAGATTTCTAACAACTTGTACACATAAGCAGCTTATACGAATTCCAAGTAAAGCATACAAGGATATTTTATAAAATAAATCAATTAACATCGAGAAATGGCATGCTTCGAATTGGTTCGAAATCGATTATTCATTCCAAACACAAATATCAAAACACGCAGAGTTTGATAGAATAACAACTCAACCATCTGACATCAAAAATCAACACTAAAACTAGTTAAGAATCCTCTCATGATCAAACTAGTTGCTTGAAATACAATCCAAGGAGAACAAGAGTACGAGAAGTATATTATGATCCACCTCAACAGTGACGAGCTGCATAAACGAGTTAATACTTTACATCAAACGATCTTACCTTAATTATGTCACAGCCTTCTTCTGATGAACACAACAAGATGACCATATAAATTTACAATCTCCGAGTTAAAATAAACGCGATATCAATCGAGCTCCGTGTTCGAAGTCGTTCCCTTTCAAGGACTCTCGAGCACTTCAATKTTATACTCAACTGTGAGAAATTCCGCACAAAGTTATACAGTGAAAAGCATTTCCTTTGGAGTGACGACTAACTGGTTTGCATTGGTGAGCTCACATGTAAAAAAGTCAATAGGTCATATCTTAGATCGTACGTGATGAGTAAAACTTCAATCAAAGATGCTCTTGACCGATATTACAACACATATCAACCGCCATCTTGGAAGATCTCACGGGAATTACCGCTGAAMCGATCGCTGGCGTCATAACATCCAAGCTTCACGGGAAAGTATCAAAGTAACATTCTGGACAGTATTTTGTTTACTCAATATAATTAGCCTTTTATTGGCTTCAAGTAAAGCTAATAATAAACTATGTTGTAAAGAATGTAACATTCGTGCCAAAATGCGGTACATGTTTCGACATGACAGTCGAACTTCGGTGYTGGCAGTGGCTGACGCCTGTTAACCTTGTACATGTTTGTCTTTCAGACCGGAAGCGATTATATTGAGGGATTAAATTGAAATCCGGGCTGGTAGGACACAACTGCGTTTATGAATATATAAAAGGCAGCTTTACAAATCATCATTTTTATGACGACATGAGAAATCCAACTCACGTGACCGCAACAAGCCGGAGTACCTCAAACATATGTATGACGTCATGATCTAGATCTAGCTAGCCAATAATGCGCATGCGTAACGAAACTGGCACTTAGATACTTGAAGCTCTCAGCCTTCAAGACTCGAGCAAGACAAGCGCATCAGCTTTGTACTCGATTAAAAACTAATAGCTCAAGCATAATGTCAAAAAAAAATTGTCACTGGGCAACATCAGATAAGTTTATTATGAATGGCCCCTTCAAACAGAGCAGATGAGGAGCTAGAGCAACCTAGTTGGTAGCTATTAACWWAAGTTGTTATGTGTTAGCCAAGGGCATGCTAGACAAGGTTTGATTTATAATTCTTTGTTGACCTAGGATCATCAGATAATGTGTTTGCTCATTCGACACACGCTATCTTCACAAGGTAAGATCAACAATTTTGTCATATGGAACACGTAGAGTTATCAGATGGCGGGAAATATAAAGCACTCCCGAAATTTAGCGTGAAAAGTCAATAGATCTGTGGAAAAGAAAATGGAGTGGATTGAGAGATTCTATGAACGAAAAAAAAAACATTGCAAAAGTAGAGACACTAAAAAGAATTCGTTATTAAGAACCGTAGTCCCCAATCTTTTCATCTTTTCAGCAGAGTCAAGTATGAGAGTTCTTTTGGCTATTTTGGTAGTCTTGGTTGTTTTTCTTGGCGTAACCACTGCATCCGATGAAAAAGATGYGGCCATGTGCAGTGGTGCAACTTGCCTTATCCAATATACACWAGGGTTTACCTCTGTTGAGAATATCATTGACAGGCGTAGTGATGATGATGATTCCAGTATTCAAACTGATATAGAACTGCATTGCTCCCTTGATATGGTAAGCTCATAATCGGGGGGGGGGGGGGGGGGGAAATAATCGCATAATTTATTTTTTTGCGAGATAGTGACAATGATTGTGATGGTGAATATATAGCATTGTGATAGTGATTACGTTGATAGTGAAATGCCTCATAATCATTTGCATCTTTTCGTTAGAGTGAGTGTATCATGCATATTATGGTAGGTAAATAGGAATGATATATGGTTGTTATTTACGTGGTACTATTAGACATTGTTTTGATATACTGTGCTTATACAGCAACTTGCCAAGTGTACAAGTGAGGCCCTTGAAAAGTGTGGTCGTAACGAAATACTTGTTGCCATTGGAAGAGCGTTGCTGTCATACATGGTTTATGACTATCGACTGGGTGTCTGTCCGAACCACAAGGAAAACGAATTCTTAGAACTTCTTGGTCCATTTGTAACAGATAATGGCAGTCTTTTTGAAATGAAACTCAAGTACCGTAAGTACAAGTTTCATGATGCTGTAAGGTCAATAGTGATTACGTCACTCCAAATTACACCATCCATTAGAAAATATGGATTGCCTAATATTTTTACATCAATCCAATCCATTCAACGTTTAAAACATCATTTTAGTTTTCGCTCTATTAATGAATGTAAAACGCCGAATCGTTTTAAATGATTTTCCTTCTCTTTTATCGTGTACATCCAATTAGTCAGTCTTTATGCCTATCCGTAGCTAGGGAAAAGTCCTTTCTGTGCATGGCATTTATACTTAGTTATAGCTAGTTTTGATACTAATATTGTTCATATGTTATACAGTTTATAATGCACCATACGCTGATTGCGCAGCCAAGATGGATTATGCTTGTCTTGAGAAATTCGTTCACATGATGAAACTCAATCCAAACCTGTGTTTGAGTATCCCGTTCAAGTATAATTGCCTAAGAAATGAAAAATGTCATCCTTCCATCACAAAAGCTTTGCTTGACATATTCCCACAAGAAGCGAACAACGTTTTGTCAGTTTTGTGCAAATAGTCACTTATAAACAAATAGATGTACATGTACAGTCACTTATAAATATATAAGACAAACCTTGTAAAACATACTGTCAGACACACCTCTAGATGTAAAAGTTGCTTCATGTCGTCAAGTTTGAGTCACCTTGTTGGATTACAATAGGAATGAAAAATAMGATGCTCAGCTGTTTAACCACCATCTACGTTCATCACGTGACCATAATGCCCAAACTTTAGTATTTGTTTGTCATTTCCGTCCTCACYCATTATAGAAATTTTGTCTTTTCGACTTGTACTAGATCATTTTACACATTTGATGTAAAACTCTGTTCTCACTAGTGTGGGGAACATGAATACATGCTTGCAATTATCCTAAATGTAAATGTGACGTCATTAACGAAGATTAAAGATCTGTCATGATACAACAACTGTGTGTATATAGTATTGTATAGATTATTGACATTTATTTCCATGTAATACTAACAAAYGACAAGGCAGCTGCTTGGTTCCCATTGCTAAATGAACTGGTATAACGCGGCAATAACGCGGCAATTGTTTATGAGTAGGGCTTAGTGCAGTACGTTCAAGACAGCAATACAAGGTATGGATTCTTTTGATCAAAGGGCGTTTCAGTACTATATGGTTAAAGATCTAYACAGCTTTTTGCTTAATTGATCATAATGATTTTGACTTCATCTGACTTCATTATCTTTAATAGTTAGATGTTTTTAAGTGAGTATTGCTTGGACATAAACTCCATGTCGACTTACTTCATATGGGACAGGAGTGTTTCTCGTAATAGCGCACCCTGTAACTATAGGTTAGATTGCAGGTAGTTTTATGGGGATAAATGAAACGGATAATTTTTCTGATTTTTGTCCATTTTTAGCCAACATGCAGGCTTCTTGTACTCTTCTACTTTGTGTCGTGGTGTTCATGACTTGTTTTCAAGTTTCTTTTGGTACTAACTGTGAAGCTAAAGCCATTAATGAGTGTGTAGTTCAAGGCTACATTAAAGGATTTAGCGCYGTCAATACAACCTTAGACGATATTGGGCTGCACTGCACGCTTGACAGGGTGAGTACGTATCTAGCAGTCTTTGAACAAAGGACGTCAGCGACATAAGAAAGCTTGAAATGCCAAATTTACAACCTAAAAGTTATGATTGGACACATGGTACAAGTAGTGATCCACTCGACAAACCCAGGAAGCGAACAACAATTTAAAATATGAAAAATAAATGGAACTGAGTAGACAAACCATTAAAATGTAATATTTTTACTTGATTTTAATTTACGATCGTTTACCTTCTGAAGTTTTCTTGATGGACGTTTACAAGGACTTGCTTGCTTGCATTTCAATATCCGGCATTTACAAGAGAAAGAGTATTAACTTCTTCGCAAATAGCCTTACTCAGTGTGTAATGACTCTCACTAGACTAGCGCGCGCAATGGTAGCTCGATACGTGAAACACTACAAGCTTCATATTGCAATGTAGGTTTAAAAGGTTTTATACCAGGAAGGTTTCCTTACTTTTTCTTCAACTTTACAGAAACTCCTACAGTGTACCGAGAGAGCGCTGAATGCATGTGGTAAGACACCGACACTCCTTGCACTAGGYCGTGCAGTGCTGTCATATATTGTCTTTGACAGAAACCTTGGAGTATGTCGTAAAAGGGGCTACTGGACTATGTACCAACTACTGAAAACTGGTAAGTACTGTATCTAGCATTCATTCATTCCCGAACAAATCGTAAAACAACGATTACGTATCTAAATTAGTCATGTTGTATTTCGTGTTTTTAGATGCTCCTTTCGAGGACAAGACAAATTGGAACTATAAGATCCTTACTCTATGTAAGTCATGTTATAATAGAAAAATACTCAGGTATTCCAATTTAAAGAGTAAAAGGTGACTTCGTGCGTAATTATTAGGCGACATGGGTACCGAACGTATGCGGTCAGTACATTTCTACGTATATTATATTTTTGATTACAATTTTGGTCTGCGTACCTCATCCACGTAGTGTAGACACTTCAGTTGCTTCGTTATGTTTATTATAATATTCAAATGTTTTATTTCTTTAGTACATTACTCCCAATATTCCGACTGTGCAAAGAAAATCAATGAGAATTGTCTGAAGGCGTTTGTTCACAAGATGAAGGTCTTACCAGATCTGTGCACCAATATACCTTTCAAGTACAATTGTATCAAACCAACCACAGATTGTCCAGCCAAGATATTACACGACATACTCAACGTGTTCCCTGACGAAGCCAATAAAGTCTTGGCAGGTCTTTGCCAGCCTCAAGATAGTGGCTAAATAGACAAATYACAGTTGTATAACTAGCATTGCGTGACAATGTACATGTAACAGAAAAATAATAACGCATTATCTGACGACTTCTGTTTGATGTCTCGSTTTTTTTGCGGAGCCAGGTCTGAGTGAGAAGTTCGTGTAAAAAAACGAACCAGTATGAGGCCTTTCGTCACTATGTCATTGTGCTGAATGATCGAACCGTAACCATCCACTTGTAGCAGGCGTTCCTTGCTAGTCTCCTTGATATTTTGATAAGTTAAAAAAAAACGAAAAATATATCTCTAGAGATAAACAAACAAAGTAGCAACAGAAAAGAAAAGAAAAAAAAAAGAAAAAGAAAAAAAAAAGAAAAGAAAACAAGAAACAAACCAAAAAGAAACAATTAAAAAATAGAAATTACAGCAGCACGTCTCGAACTCAGGACTTTCACTTCAGCAGAAGATGTACCCCCCCTGACATACATAAGAAATAATGAAAATAAAAACTAAAAAAATGGGACGATTCCCCCGAGACATTCTATGAAGCTGAGGCGTCGAATCGGYTTACGTTAYGGTTAGAGATTTCGGCTCTTCCACGCTATCCCGAGTGAACATAAAACTTAGTCTTAACCAAAAGGCCAGGGAGTGAGGGGGTAGCCGCCCACTAGAGCATACCTTYAGCTACCCTCTTAGACCATCGTACTATGAAGACACTTAAGATATCTAATATCTAATTGGGGTAGTCTATTCGGTGAAGTTCTATGCTAATATATGACGTCACCAAAATCCTTAGGGAGCAGCGAGCCAATTAGAGCTCAGCTCAGGAATAATCAAAGGATACAGGGTTTGCATAATCCATTTCTTCAGTGKATTTATTATTTTAAGGGGGTGGGGATAGGTGCTGAGTGTTGGGTTTGTGGGCGAATGCCGATGTACTCGATGTCATGTGACGGCTTTCACGGAGCTGTTCAATTGCCGTTATTGTTTTCCAAATCATCACAGCAAAAGTTGTACAGTTCTTATATCCGACAGACATCACAAGTATTCTGATAAACACCACGACAAAAAAAATCTCTTGAAATTCTTAAATAAGTGGTTAACAGACAAGGCCTGAGATAATAGCTGAAGTGCCACTCGAACGTTCGAATTTTCGTTTTGTGATATAAAAGTTTACAAATGGAATACTTAACAATTGAAGAGGATGAATGACAATCCGCATAAAATTGAAAAACTTAGCAATCTTCGGGGTTTTATTGCACTATTCAGGTTAGTAAGAGTAATTGATATGTAATTTAGATGATATAAAGATTTTATCGAAGAAAACGTTCGAGAATTTATCATGAGTTTATAAGTCAACAGATATAGAAAGATGTATTTGACTACAACTAAAAGAACTCCATGTAGCTTAGATTATAAATTTTTTTCCTTTTCTGAATCTTTCAGAAGGATTCTTGGTTTGCAGGTTACGTCACAGCAGCCATCTTGGAGGAACTTTAACAAAGGATTTCTCATTATCTATTGTTCATTCCTCCAACATGGCCGCCGGTTTTCTATCTTTTGAATCTCATGGGAATGGGTGAAAACGATCAATAGACCCCTTGCAGTTCATGGGAATGCAGCTCCAACTGGAGGACAAAACAATAGATTCTAGTTCCCAAGAGGATAAAAACTTTTGTTTTGTCCTCCAGATGAAGCTGTTTTGACGTCACATGCGAGGGGTCTATATGTTTACTGTAGGCACGGGGATACAGGGCGCCCCGCGTAAGGCCCCTGAGAATCGCGCCTGGCCGGGGTCTGGTGTGTAATATCTAGTGAACGTAATGTGTGAKCGACACTTGATTCTTTCAGTTCCTTGCAGCTAGCGTATACAACTAATCAAGAAAACATTAAATACTGAAGATATTGTATATTCCAAGATATTGTGTATTCTAAGAGCGCAATGCATTGTGGGTCTTTCTATCACCGTTTCAAGATGKTCTCTAATTTTTCTTCTCATTTTCACTACTCACGGCTAATTTTTCAGCCGTTTCACGGCTCACGGTTAACCCCACTGAGACCCTCTTATTAGAAATCCAAAAAAGGGGTCGATTCATCTTATAACGTTCTATTTCGGGCTCTTTGGTTTCTTGTCGCACTTAGGGTGACGATCGACTCCCGCCCAATTTTTAGGTCTTTCATGCACAAAATGAGCGGGAGTTTTAAAAGACAAGAAAAATCCCCAAAATAGTATCTAAGTAAGGAAAGACCTTTTATAACTTTATTAGCAATCTAAAAAAAGATTTCGATTCATATTATAAGGTTTTTTTTCGGGCATCTTTGTTTTCTTGTCGCACTTAGGGTTACGCTCGGTTCCCGCTTAATTAAGGTCTTTCATGCACAAATTGAGTGGGAGTTTTAAAATGTACAAGAAAAATCCCCAAAATAGTATCTAAGTAAGGAAAGACCTTTTATAACTTTATTAGCAATCTAAAAAAAAAGATTTCGAGGTTTTTTTCGGGCATCTTTGTTTTTATGTCACACTTAGCGTGATCGCCTAGCCTGCATGCACGCAGTCTGAAAATCATCTAGTTGTAAAAAACTTGCAGAATTAATTCCCTAAAATACTAAAAATTGCAGCTGGTTCATTCCGATCGACATATGACCACGCCCCAATAGCCTGCCAGAATCATATGCGCATGCTCACATTTCAGCGGTAGATCCAAGATGGCGGCCGAAGTTGAAACTTGTGGATCATGTTGTTTGAAGTTAAGGGATCTCATTCAAGGCTATGAAAATGAGCTTGGGTTATCAGSAAGAAATATCGATGGAACAAAGAGTATGTATTCTTACTTTTTATGAGATAATAACGTTTTCAAAGGTAGTTTCCTAGATATTGTATGACTTTATAGTGATCCACTCGAGCTCAGATATTGAGTTAATTGTTCCTAGCTAACAAACGCAGTTTTTACATTATTTAAGTATCATTTGGTGGCTTTGTTTTGAATCAGTTCTATGCAGTATAGATTAATGAGATATTTATTCCAGTTCACATGTTTGGATCAGTCAACTTCTGCTTGGAACACAACAAGTTTAATGAATTACTGAACAGCATCAAATCAAAATGTCATCAATGTAAAACATGGACAGACTCCAAGAAGGCCATCAGAGCTTCCTTAGTAAGTCAGTTTAGAGTAGTTATACATAATATGATAATGTAGATATTAATTAAGATATACTAGCATGCTTCTGAAGAGTATTTTGTTTAATGATTGATGTCATTGAATCTTAATTAAACCACTAGCAATTCAAATTCATCTAACAATGTTTTTTTAGGAGCGACATCAACAAACTGAAAACCTTGCACCAGTAAAACTCTTCATTAAAGAATGTTTAGATAAGTTACAACATGCCATGAAAGGTGATTACAACATGCATATGATAATGTATTTCATCTAAGCACTGTCAATCCTTATAATATCAACATTTTAACCATTTCATGTTTTATTTGGTAGATAATTCAATAAGAGGAGTTGTGCAAAGACTTGAAGCCATCACAAGAAAAGTTGGGTGAGAATGGATCTACKAAATAACCCATCAATTATTATAAATGATTTAATAATATATAATGTTTTATTCTAGTTTGAAGTTTTATGACAATGGGTCTGGTACAGATTGCTTTATCAGCTCTGATATGTTCTATGTAGAGGTGAGAAAAATTGTTTAATGTACATACATATATTAATTTTATCACTTAAAATTATCAAAAATTGAAACGAGCTTGTAGCAATAATACAATGAATCATTTTAGTCTTTAATTTAATTTTATACATTAATTATCTATGTATTGAAATACATTGGATTCAATAGGTTAAGATGGAGCCCAATGGTAGAGTAATGGAAGTGAAGGTTGCACATGCAGGTGATCCAGAGGTATGGAGAATTTTGTGATAGATCAACATCATTACTTAATTCGATGTTTTGAACATTTCAATTATTTTTGTAGAGCTGCCCAGAATTAACAAGAGTCTTGAGGTACAGAAAAMTAATCTTTKAAATTATGTGTATTGTACAATAAATTAATTTGAAATGTATGGTCAATGTTTTTTTAGAGAAGGGGATTATGATGAGTTTGCATGCCATCTTAAAGGTCTATCAGATCTTTATGAGCTGTCTGGAGATACGTAAGTTGACAATTTATTATCTGYCCAAATTCTGCACCAAAATGTCAATTATAATGCAACCTTTTTTGGCTATCTTTTAGATTTCAAAAATCCAAGATATTAATGGCATTAAAAGCTTTAGAGGTCGATGTGAATATGATGTTGTCTCTGTATGGGTAAGCATATAATTTATCAGATAAGTAAACTTTGATTATTGATTGTCCAAAGCTATAAAGTATGTACAAATATCATGGACAGGTCTAGTGAAGACTCAACAGAAACCATCTTGAAATGTCCTGTTGGATTTGGAACACCACGCCAAGGAGGTAATGTACATTATAAATGTATTGTGTATACTTGTGGCTWTATGCAGTTTATACTCTGAATATTATGTCATGCATATAGTGAATCAATATGATTATATTTCCAGGTCGCCTGATGCGTCTGACATACTTTGCTACACCATATGAACTAGTGGATGTCAAACATCCTGGACAAGACTTGAAATTCTCTAATGAAAGTAAGCAATGTCTRAAGGAGTCCTAGTATTATCTTGATATGTCTGTCAAKAATTACAATGTAAACTGTGTCATTTAGATWATATCAATAATTTTCAATTTTGCTTCCTAGACCACCCCCCTCTGGATTTAGGTTACTGGGTTATTTTATCAGTAGAGCAATCACAAAAATGCCWTTTGCCTACAAAACCTTTGATAGAAGAYCCTCCAATGGAATGCATGCTGGATGATACGTAAGTTTATTATTTGATAATTACAGGGTGGGACTGGGGACTGCCATTGTTAATCAATCATATCTCTTGTTACTGTAAATAGAATCAAGTATCACCCTCTGAATGATAATAACCACGATGAGCTTCCAGCATCTTTTGTCTTGATATTAAATAAACCAATGGTGATGTCAGTAGAGTGTGCGCAACAGATATGCTCCGTAATACATCAAGGAAGTATGTATACCTTGATCAGAATAGATTACTATCTGTTGACGTATACTGTAACTTTATTGTCTTACTTYATAGGTAGGTTTGTACATTCATCAACAGTACCAGTTGAGAAACTTATWTTCAGAGAGGTAATGATATTCTATGGTCCACTAACTATGTAGAATACCATCCCTGGCTTACAGGGGAGGAACAAATCATTATCATTATTCATTATTATTCTTAAGTTTATAATTTTCCTTTTTCTAGTGGTGGAAGTCAAAAGGYATTGTTGAAGGAGAAGAACCCAGAGTTTATTTTGCAGTAAGCAACAATTGACAGTCTTTTTACCAAACTTTCATGTGATGCTGTGATTGATTTTCTGTTCTTGCTTGTTGTACACTGGATATAAAAAAAGCTAATMTGATTAATTATTTGAATAGTACCATCACTGAACAAAATTACTGGTAGCATGTGGATGACATTATTTATTGAGTGACATACAATAATAGTTTTTTATTGACAGGACCTGCCACAACATTATCATATCTACTACGACACGTCACATGACTCTGAAGAAGAGGAGGCTGTGAGAAAMAATGCAGGAGTGTTGGTTTATAGAGTTCCATTCACACACCCAAGCCATGTTCCTGCTATAATTAAAGTAATTATTGTATTACATACAAAATGCTATGAAGCTTGYGCAGTTATTGTCAAAAATGCTCAGTAGGCAAATGTGATGTTGAACAAAATTATTATTTTTATTTCCTCAGCAATTACGGCGACAGGCATCTTACAACAGTTTATTAACAAGTACATTAAGGWCTCACAAGCCACCATCTAAAGGTAACAGAAGTGTATTGACTACCAAACCAACAGTCATTCAGTCAATCAATACATTATTAGTCAATCAACCATTCAGTCAATGAATCAGTTAATCCATCAGCCATCCAGTCAATCTAACAATCAACCATTGACTCATTATATTTCTATTTTAGGCAAAGACAAAACAGTGTATAAATTTGAGTTGAGTACTCCAGCACCCTTTACCATTACCATTACATTTGAACATCCTTGTACAGCAGGCATGGCGTCCAGTAAGTATAACGCAGATATCATCAACATGTACAGTGAATAATGTTGAGTGTTTCTTTAGTTGACTTTGAAGTGACAGAAGATAGTWCAGTGAAAGCATACCTGCACACAGTTCCTGGACAACCTGAATTTTGTACGAATGAATACATTACTAAAGTTGTACAAAGGTATGTGTTATTAATTTCTTATGTAAATGTTCTGTGTTGTTTGTTGACAATCATGATATCTTGGTTTAGATGCCATTCTATTCCTGCATCCATGCGCTGTGTCATTAAAAAAGCGCAGTCTTACAAACCTGAAGAACTACCTGTTAAAAAAACACAGACACCAGGCTTGATTACTCCTGCACCATCGACAGCCAACCTGGAAAAGCTTACTATACCAGGAAATCCTTTCTTTGCCAATCCATCAGGTCCAAACACACCAGCGTACTTTCCAGGTAGTACATCACCAACTTTTGGATTCTCCCTGGAAACTCCTTCCCCTACCTTAGGTGCATTTCAGTTCTCTATTTCACCAACTTTGACGTCATTTCCGTTCATTGGTGCTGATATGCCAGAAACACCAACATCGAAACAACCAGAAAATAAAAAACTAGAAACTCCTAAACCTCCATCTACTCCTAAACTAACATTGGTATTAAAGCGCAAAAGAGATGATGAATATGTGATCAAAGACTTTCAATTACCTGACAATGTCCCTACATCAGAAGAGAACGTAAAACAAGAGAAAGGTARCATTATTAGTGCATCGAAATTAATGGAACAGTCAGCAATGGATAGTATTCCTCCACCATTAGATACCAGTAAGACAGGAACTGATGGAGTCAATCCATATAGTATGTTAACATCACCATTTGACATGCAACCATCAACCAGTAACATCTCCTTGGAAGCTGCTTCTATTTCCATGGCAACAAGTGGTTTAGGGGGGACGTTACCTGGAGCAATTGATAGTATTCCGGGAGCCGAGTTGTTTGAGTTGACTTCTGGTGTCTCAGATGGTAGCTCTGTACCTGATCTTGAAGGAATCTTGTCAAGTCTTCCAGGAGCATCTCATCTATCGGTGGATGCTGGTCTGGATTTCGATACAGGATTGGGTAAGAATATTCCGATTATTAATACTTTTGATAATCACAACACATACTCCATAAGCTATTTCGTGACAATGTAACGACAATAATCCACAYCGCCTCAACAAACAAGAAGTTATTCAACATTACCATTACAAAATGCCTTATCAACATCCAGCTTGACACCACTTGTATGTTGTCKTGCATTACCTATGTTATAGACGTTAGATATGCGGGACAATCATGTACCGTAAGTATCGCATGACAATAGTGTTGCGTTACAATGAAATATTTTATTAGGTTCTGGTCCACATGTCATGGATGTTGACGCTAATTTTGATATCGATGCTGCGATCGATGCAAGTGCGGCGAATGATCCAAGTATTGCAGGTACGTTAAATGATTCGCTTTTCTCTGTCAATCAGTGAGTTGCGAAACAAGTCAATCGATTAATAAAATGTGCGCTTTTGATTCCAGGTGTTGTCGCCTCGGCTGACGCTTTCGACGTGGACTCGGCTCTAGACTTCGATCTCGATCACATCACAGGCAGCCATTCTAGTGATCTTACACCTTCAGGCTCAGACCTTGTGGACCAGACTCTACCGGACACGCTATTAAGTCCTGGGGATAGCATTGTTGCTATGGATACTGGTATAATAAGTGATTGAATGGACAAGCGTGTCAGTGTAACTAATACGGTGGAGGCAGGTTAGTGGTCAATATCCCAGTATCACTGGCCAGGGAAGAATCAGATCATTAAGATGTAAAAATACAAATGTATTCAAGTCAACAAGTATTTTAAGTCGTAAAACGGACAAGAAGCAGCATTATTATCACTGTAAATACATGAAATAYAATGCACCTGAGATGCGTTTTAAACCATACAATATTGTTTAAAATGGAGGACGATTAACAGCAGCAAAACGTTCATGATAAATAGCATAAGATCCTAAAAACATGTAACGATTTCTTAACGCCTGATGACATCCTTTCATTGTGAAAGTATAAAAACTGAGTAGATAAAGATATATAATTGTACTAAATGTAAATATCAAATAAATATGCRTAAAAAACATTTTGATTTTGATGACCTAAAAAATCGCAGTATTTTTAATTTCAAGAACAAGAGAACTATTGTCACAGTATTCGTTTATTTTGACCATAGTTTAATTATATCTCATTTTATTATCGAGCCATTGTCTCAGATAACGAACCCTTGCATAGACACCATATTTTAATGGGCTAGCRCAGCCATCCCCGAACGAAACCACACCTTCGAGGAAGAACTTGCCTCCTGATTCACACACRAGTGGACCCCCGGAATCTCCTTGACAAGCATCTTTGCCCCCCTGATCGTAACCAGCACATACCATAGAGTCGTGGATGTTGTAGGATCGTYTACATTGACTTTGACTGACAATAGGTACAGACACTTGCATCAGAACGGACGGTGATTGTCCACCWGATTGAAGCCTTCCCCAACCTAAACCAAACAATATGTTTATAAAGAAAGGAACAAAGAAAAGAAATTTGTCAGGGTGTGTCTAAATAGCTCATAAGCTTAATCAGGTCTTGTAAATTGCTCAAAGAATTCAGATTAAWTAGGGAGTCATGGCTACAATGTATCTTTCCGATGGGTTTCGTCAGTTCGATGTAAAYGTCATTAATCAATGATTTTTTATGACCAACACTTGTAWATAGATTCCTAGGGTTCCGATCTATTGGTAAATAGGAATCTTGTCATGATATWACAATCTATACCTGTGACCCAGCAACGTTTACCAACGCTAACACTTCCATRTGATGCAGGCAGACAAGCAAGGCTTACTGCCTTATTCATCAAAGCTGGTCGACTTAGCTTCAGTAAGGAAATGTCATGTGCATAGCTGAATGGATTGTGAAATCTTTCATGGTTGATGATTTTTGCAACTTTGATGACCTGTCCGTTGTTTCCTCGGGTATAGTGCGCTCCGAGTCTATATAAGTTAAAAGTCATATATATATTAATTAACCAATTGGAATGAAGCCTCTTTTTTATCATTTCCCACACTTTGGCAGTTTTATGGATTCACATGGGGTTYCATAGACTGTGAAGTCATTTTGTATGTCCGACATCTACCTGACATCAATTTCACTTGGACTTTTCTTGGCTGTACAGTGAGCAGCGGTTACAACCCATTGGGGATGGATTAAAGTACCTCCACAGAATGGTTGACCATAGGGTGTATATCTGATCATAACCTGCCATGGCCAGGCTCCTTTTGGTGCTTCTGTACCACCCACTATGCGAACATTTGGCTTGAAACCACAGGATCCACTTGAGCTGCCTGATAGATAGAAAGTACTGTATGAGGACAGGATGCAGTCTTGTGTTCTAAAAATAGGTACATAGTGATGCTCCTACCCTCCCTCTCTCAGAAATACTAAGAAATATCAACAGTTTTGTAAAAAAAAGCGGAAACAAAAGAGTTCACTATACTATTCGACAAGCGCAAATAAGAAATGCGAAGATGCAATTAATTCAGGCGTTGGAAAGCACCACAGTTCAACGAAGAAACCCTGCAACGCTTGTTACAACTGACTTTGATATGGAAAATTGCTTAAAAACAAAGTCAGCGTGATCATTATTACTCGTTACCAGCTTACCACCACCGCCTGTACTACCGCCTCCTCCACACACCCCACAGCTTTTCGGACATGTCTTCTTGACGTTTTGCTGACTACAGTAACCTCCATTTGCCCAGCCTCTGCAATGTTCGTTGTTATCAGTACAACCTGTAAACAAAACGATACGCTTRCAACGCTCCTCTGACTTTGATATGGGAASTAACTTCAAAGATGTTSTAGGTGATCATGACTTTACTCACCACTTCCRCCRCCGCYGCCGCCACCACAAACCCCACAACTTTTTGGACAGGTCTTCTTGACGTTGTCCTGATTACAGTAACCTCCATCTTTCCAGTCCTTGCAATGCTGATTGTTATCAGAACAACCTACAAACAAAGCAAAACTATAAAGTTCATTCTAAAATGCAATAGACAAGTAAATGGACACGGGTGTAGAAGTGATTCAGCCACAGCAGACAAWTTCATTGGTAGTCATTAATATACCAGTTCAAGCCAAAACTCGATATTGAGGATCAAAAAATGTTGTGGAAACGTGATTTATAGTTAATATGACCGAAACGTACAGAGAAACGTTATCAGTAACCTCATAACAGGAATCAAGGCAGTAGAGAGGGAAAAACAAACGAAAAAACTTCTAAGTTGATTTCACCCAGGAAAAGTCCAACATGAAGACAGGTCAAAGCTTACCATAAACAACAGCGATCAAAGCGAATGCCCCTAGTACTACAATTGTCTTCATGTTTGGTTCCTTAATCGAATGAGTTTAGAAATGGAGTTTAATGTATGTTTATATCACTGTGTAAGGCAACCACACCTGTCGGGTGAACAACCATCGAACCAGATGAAGAAATACACCTTGGAACAGAAATGACAATGTATTTACCTCGATATATTAAACATGTCACACAGTGATAATGAAAATCACCTCTTCCTGATTATCCGGCTAATCACTTTAATGATTTACATTATTTTGTGWTCGTACTTTTTATACTAATGATGCTTGTTCCTGGTACTGTTTGGTGGATGGTACTGACAGAGAATTTCATTGGTAACTCGAATAAGCAGTGCTACCACCTTACCAGGTGTATTTGATCGAGGGCGGATTGAGAGATTTGAGGAGATTCCATTTTGGGAGATTCGCCGGATTTAAGCATTTTTAAGGTATTTTTCCGTGTTTGGAGAGTGGAAAATTTCATCAATAGAGAAACGAGTTTGAATGTGTAAAGATTATCGGAAACAAAAGATCAAAATTATGCCTCTGTCCACTGGCCTCTGTCAATGGTATTGGTTTCACACAGGAATCCCAAGATACATTAGCAGAGGCAGTGAACGATGACTATTCGTGGGTTTCCTGTGGCTATTTGTAAGTCAACAGGAAACTGATGTTATAGATTGCTTTCGATTGCAAGTGAGTAATGCCCTCTTACATGTAATACAACAGCATTTATGATATTCAAACTCTGACAGTATTACYGTTTTTGCTGACATTTCAAATAAGGTCGTATKGAAAGTTTTAAAACATTTGTTGTTTTGAATATTTAAGTGATAAAAATCATTTCCGCTTTCAGTTCGATGTCACTTCAGTTCATATGTTGATATTTCGTCGTGGGAAAGCTACAGTGAGACAGAAATGGCTACAGAAAGGTTTGGGTTATCGTCCCTTCGTAATCATCAACAACAACCAGCGCTTGTCTTACCAGTTTATAAAGAATCCTTCTCGTACGACAGTACAGCAGTAGAAGATTTTCTTGTCGATAAACATCCTGAAAGTCTGAAGTCTTTGGTCTTCAAATACTTTTTACCGATTGCTGAGATCAATGCAAATGTAAGATTTAAGATTTTTAAGAATAAAAGTGTCTCATCCCAAGACTGCACGTAATTGAAGACGATGTTTGCGCTTAGTACACAATCTTCTGTTCTCTAAAATATTTTCTTCGTGACTACATTTATTATTAATGATTGTATGTCCATATTCCTTGTTTTTGGTCTTTATTTATCTCAGGTAGAACATAATGATCTTTATCATCGACAAAGCTGGTTGAATTATCGGTCAAAAATCTCTTCTCTTCTTGGAATTTCCTCTGAAAAAGGTAGAACTTYGATTGTATCGTTATTCAATGCTATCATTTCCGTTGAAATATGTTTTTTTGCTATATGAACTTTAGACAATGTTGAAGAATACCTAATTCATTCTGGTAGTTCTCGGGAAAACCTCTTCTTACCTTCCTGTAAACCAAGGGTCAGCGAAGGAATGGCAGGTTGTGATTCGGTCATTTATGAATCAGCTGATCTCGACGTGATGCATTTGATTTACAACCAATCGCTAATAAGTTCGCCTATTCAAGCTTCTAACACTGTTCATCTAGTGATGGACGTAGATGGTTGTCATTTAGGCTTCACTAAAATACGGATCGAAGGAGACCCTGACCTCCTCCCAGAAAAACTGAAGCAATCAGTCGTCCACTCTGAAAAAGGATGTTACTTGTCAAGTGAGGCAGTTTTATCATCTCTCTACGACCCCGCAAGGTACGAGTATGAAATCATGAAGCATGACATGGYMAAAGGCAAGCTGACAAGAACAGGTCCAGCCATCAATATAAAAGTGCTAGACGAGGATTCAGTAAAAAGTTTCATCGATATTGATTTAGTACCAACCTTGAAATGCGATGGAATGCCAGAGCAATTGTTACCATGGAAAGAAAGGATTCAAACTCGTCCATGGCCACATGAGGATATTCGACAGCAATTATTCCAGAAGCCATGCTATGTGGTTGGAGTAGGTTACCATGGAAGTCAAGATAAGGACTTAGAATGGCGGCTATCAACATCAGCTATTGAAAGTGTACTTGGATCATCCTTGACACTTGTACAGAGAAAGTGCTACATCCTATTCAAGATGATACACAAGGTAGCCATGAAGGATCCTGCAATGTTGGCAACGTACCATCTGAAGAACATCTTGTTCGAATCTCTTGAGGAGACAGAAGGGTCTTTTTGGACAGAGGTTAACCTTTTGCCATGTCTTTACCTTTTGCTTGATAAGCTCATCAGTCACCTGGAGCAGGGAAGAGTAATGAGCTACTTTATAGAAGGCTACAACCTTATTGATCACTGCCCTGCCAAGACTATTCAGGAAGTTCTGGAGAAACTAAAAGCTGTTCGCAAGGATCCGGAAAAACATCTGATGATGTTTGACGGACAATTCGCATTTGATTTCAGTAGCGATTATGTCTTGCAAGAGGTGTTTGAGCCATATTTCAAATTATGTGAGCAAAAACGTCTTGGAGAAGATTTCCAACTTGTTGCTCATAGCATCGTCATGTCGCTTATCCGSCATGCTCATTTTGACATTTCAAGGAATCAATTGCCTCTTTACAATAGAGCATATGCACTGTTAAAGGATTCATGGGATATCATGAATGTTGTAAACCCTGAGTTCAATACTAATCAATTTTCCTTTATGTCTGACGTAACCTATTCTGGCATAGAAGTCGACCAATCTTGTAAATTTCAAGAATTTTTGCGTTTGAAGTGCCCTGAAGCCCTTGAAGTAAATGCTAACGTAAAAGCCATTGCCAGTATGCTGGGTCTTCAACTTCCAGTGTCGGAAGAGGCAAATCCTCTTTTCAAACTACTTACATACAGAATGTTTACCCTGGAGTGCTTTTGTGAATCAAAAGAGCTTCATGCATCGGGCATACAGGTCTTGAATGCTGACATGTACTCAGGGACTGAGCCAGACATTGTTGCCATTTCTGGAACAATGCAAAGAGCAATGCTGAAAATACTTTTGTGGATAAGCAAGCTATACAGCCCCCCTGCTGCTAAAAGCGCTGAGGAATTACAGTGCAGAAAACGTGCTGTTGCTATGGATGTGATGAAAGAGTTGACAACAGATCTAGGCACGGAGGACACTGATACAGCAGCGTTAACAGGTTTTATGTCAGGGATGACCAACATGTTCTCCAATCTGAAGCTTAATGATTCCCCATTTGAAGACGCAAAGAAACTTGAAGAAATTGTCAACGCTGTACACAAGCCTAAGGATAGAAACATTTCTACAGCCAAAGCAACAGCCTATGAATTGTTCCTGCAATATTTAAATGGAAGCTTAGATATCAACCTTTACTTGCTGTCTGCTTACAACACAGTCTTTCTATTCTTGATGTTTGGGATGAACCAGGCAGCATGCAGGATGATAATCCGTCTCGACCCTACTTGTTTGTGGAACTTTTCACTGCTGAACGGTTCTTTCTTTGCACGAATAGAACTCAAAAACTTGAATCGTTACGTGACCAAATACGTTTTTCCAGATCATCTATTCACCTACCTTGGTACAGTAAGTTCATGTGAGGTTAAAGTAGAGTTCTTTCAGTACTTTCTTCTAATTGAATGCAGCACGGCCAATCCAGGCTTCTTTGAGAACAGTGAAATTGAGCAAGCTTTGACTTCTGCTTCAAAGTCAGTACAAAGTAATACAGGAGTAACAAAAAGGCACTGCGCTTTCCTGCTGTCCGTCATGTACTTTAGACTGAACAAATTCACCGAAGCGCAAGCATGTCTTGAGACAATTGCTAGCGATGTTGACGAGGAATCCAGACAAACCATTGAAGAAGCTTTACTGCTTTATCAGTGCCTTACGATGTCATTGGACGAATAAATATCCTCCTAGCTAGCTATCTTGGTTCAACTGAGAACTTTAGGGCAATGATCATTTTGGAAGAACATACTTTTTATGAAACACTAAACAAACTACATATTGTATTGAATTGACTGCATAACCGGAATGATTGTTAAATGATTCATATTCAATGTAAAAAGTTGCTTATCGTCAGTATACTAGATTGGACGTCTTTTTTGTCTTCAGACATAAGGGAATATGATTACACCAGGACACTAGTATATTTGGTAGAAGAACTATATTGTAGTATTGTAAAGAAAACATAGCAATGTAGAAGATGTGACCGTTTCATGCAAAATGCATATTATATGGGTTACGTATTGAAATATATTTCACAATGTATAACCGACCGTAACGCTGTACGATTTCATGATATGTTAACCCCCCCCCCTTTCTCCTCGCCTTCTTCTCCCATGTATTTACAACAATATTCCCGTAATATGGTTCAATAAGCGTTTATTAGTTTCTTCCCATATGATAATCAATCCATTGTCTTAAGTATCGTACACGAGAGTACACCCCATATTTGCCAGGACGGGCACACCCATCACCCCATGAGACCACTCCCTCAAGGAAGAACTTCCCACCATCTTCACACACGAGAGGACCCCCTGAATCTCCTTGGCACGAGTCGATTCCTCCTTTTGTCAGACCTGCGCACACCATGGAATCGTGGATTGTGTAGTAAGAACGTTTACAAACTGACTGGGACACAATTGGTACTGAGACTTGCATCAGAACRCGCGCAGAAGAGCCCCCTTGAGATAATGCTCCCCAGCCTGAAAATCGATCATCAAAAGAGTCATTAATTGGATATTTCAAGGAAGGAAAGACATATATCCTTTTTAAATCCTTACTTACTCCGAAGTTTTATTGTGAAAAATTTAAGGTCATTGACAAAGCGAATCTTTTTAGCCACGAACGCCTACCTGTTACCCAGCATCGCTTGCCCACTTGGACGTACCCACTCGACCCAGGCAGACAGGCTACGTTAACAGCGCGATTCAATACCGCTGGACGGCTCAGCTTCAATAAAGCAATGTCATGTGCATATCGRTAAGGTTTTCTATAGCTTCTGTGGACGATGATCTTCGATAGTCCAATGTCTTGTTCTGTGCCTACGTTACCACTGCGGTAATGWGCACCAAGCCTGTGGAGTTTCCAAGTATGTTTTCTTAGTTATGAAACTACAGATCAGCAGAGTACAAGTATCGTGCGGTTCRTTAATCGCGGGATTTGCGGCATTTGGCTTTTTACGTCAACATTTACAAAACAGTTTTCCGTTCGCATTGTACATATTCAATGTGTTGGTTTTGCGCATGCGTATACCTTATTTTCATATTCCTTGGTATTCTTGACCTCAACACAGTGGGCAGCGGTTACAATCCATTGCGGATGCACTAACGTCCCACCACAGAACTGTGAACCCCAGTTTGACCGCAGCATAGCCTGCCATGGCCACGCCCCTTTTGGTGCAGCACTCCCACCAACTATTCGTACACTTGGCTTGTATCCACAACTACCAGAACCTCCTGAAAATAGAATAATCCTGAAATACAATGATAGTTAAACTCACACACCACAGTAGAWTGTTTGCTTGCAGGACGTGCTGTTTCTTTGATACTATTCACTATACAATAATATGGTGAACCTGGGCCTGTATACGAACATTGAGATAAATTGTTAAATAGAGTAGATATCTTTACCTCCTCCACCACCATCACATTTTCCACAGCTCTTTTTACAGTTCGTTGACATCCACTTTTGATATCTTGGGTTAGTACAGTATCCTTGTTTCTGCCATTGAGGGCATTTCTGGTCGTTATCAGAACAGCCTGCRRTATAAAGTAAACTCTGTTTTAATCTCTTGTTGTTGTCTCATGTTAATAGCTCTGTCGCAAAAGACATTTATCCAAAGAAGTTCAATATTGGAAAAATCTTCCAAGTATCTTTGMTGCTGAGGTATTTATAAGGTCATTTGTGACACCTCAAAATGGACACCGAACAATAGACGATTCTTCGATAYGATAATATTAGTATTATGCGTTATAAAAGCAGCTATCTAAAGAATGCTTTGCCAGGAAAAAATAAATTCAAGACTTACCATATACAATGCTGGCCAGGCAAGCGAACCCCACTATACATAATATGATGGACAGCTTCATGTTGCTTTGAGATGATTGAATCTTACTACCTGTGGATCTTATTATATGTCGGATATTGTGTACTCAATCTAAAGGCTGGTCAAACCATGAAACAGACGTTAGCACCAACTCAAATTCCTACTTTATCGATGGAGTCAAACGTATTTATTCAGCCTGTAACTTTCATTATARAAGCAAACAATGGTTTTATTAGATTTTGCTTTTGAACATTTTGGAAATTTTCATGCTTTCTTAAGCACTAGAGAAATGATACACAAATTGCAACCTATAATAATTCAACATTTTTCTGTATTATTTTAATTTTTTTTTCTATGATAGGAAATCAACCGGATTTCACTTTATTCAATTCCTCACTTCTGTTATTAAGCAAAATTGATTCATATCAGACCTGGACACGTCTCAATACTTTAAAACATTCAGACAGTAAATTCTATAAAGTCTTTATTTGATGATATGTAGGATATTTTATAAGGCAAATTCTATGTTTTCACCCGAGTATACCGCTTTAAGAGCGTCTAGATCAATAATAAACAACGCGCATGTTTTTTAAAGTGTTTTATTATAGTAACGACTGCAATTTTAGTATCGCGACATCGAGTCATTAATCCATTTTCTGAGGTATCTCACACGTGCGTACACTCCGTATTTGCCAGGACTAGCGCAACCAGATCCCCACGACACTACCCCCTCTAAGTAATATTTGCCTCCTTGCTCACAGACCATAGGACCTCCAGAGTCACCCTGACAGGAGTCTTTTCCTCCTCGGGCGAGTCCAGCGCAGACCATAGAGTCATGAATGGAAGAGCCATATGCTCTTTTACATGTGGACTGACTAACGACAGGAACACTGACTTGCATCAAGACCTTTGCCAAGGATCCTCCTGATGACAGAGTACCAAATCCTACGCAAAAAAAAGCTTACAGTTACCAGTTGGAAAAGAATTTCATTCTCATTCGCTCGTTTATATCATTTTAGTTATTTATGCATCCATCCCATCATCCAATCGTCATCTCTTCGTCTAATTACTCGTTACTTCCTTTAATTTGTCATTATTTTCATCTATTGCATGTAAT